CGAATTTGATGTGAAATCATGTATATTCACTGATATCAAAATATACTTGTATATGCCGAGCAAATGCATGCAATTTGTTGATCCACCAGTGTCAAAAAGTGGAATGTTTGAGCGGCTCTGTGATGAATACAAGACGGATGCTGCAATGCCGTCAAAATTAATGACGGAACATACGGCAATTTGCTTCATTGATGGAATTAATTAAGGAGACCGCTCAATCATGAATTTGGCGGTACTTCGACAGATTCTGACCGCTTCTGGTAGCATTACCTGAGAATTGTGAGGGGGCATATCAAGCAGATTCAACGACGTTGGAATTCAGCTGAATTGGATCAGTTCATAGTAGGGGTCAAGTTGAGCTACGGATTCTGTGGTTTATGTGAACGTTGAAGTATCGTATGGCATATTCTTGAGATGATATTCTAGTATATTTCTAATAAGATTTGATGGGTTTTGAGTCTAGCTTCGTTGGACCAGACATGAATGTTTTGAGCCTGTTGAGAACTGATATCAATGGATATGAAATCAGTCAGGCAGATTTACTGCCTTTGCCTATATTTTGAGTGTTGAATTGATCTGAAATGAGCCAGCAATGCTACTTTATACCTTGGAAATACGAGTAAATGCACTGGGCTACTTGTAGAGCGCGGCATTTTGTTGTTTGGGTTTGGGGCCGAAGGGCGATGCGGTGAGAGTGAGAGGGACGGACGGTGTAAAAGCTTCGGGCCACTTTTGCACTATGAGGAACGCCTCTAGATGTGAACGTGTGCTGAACCGAGGACTGGTCAACCTGCGCGAAGCTGTCGGGAACTGTTCGTGTTGGTTCTCAAAAGCGTTGTGGCCGCCGCGGGCGTTGATAACATGAGAGGCGTCGCAGCCCTGCCATCTAGCAGCTGCGGACAGCTGCACCGTGTTCGAGTTGCGTGTTCGACGCCGTCTACTGACCCACGGCGGTCCTTTCGGGACCCAGGAGCTCTTTCTGGTCCGTGGATCTTCAGTGAGTACGATCGCTGCGATTCAGAATCAATGCCGTGCCAAGAAACAAGGCGAAACAGCGGCAGCTGCCCTGCGACGTCTTTACTACCTGCGCCTTGATTGCAAAGAGGCTTGGAAGAAGCTTTCTATTCCATGACTGGTGCCCAAACGTTGCCAAACGTTGAGGAGCCTTCTGAGATGATGGTGACCAGCTGTGCTAATTTTCAGCAGCTTCGGAGGGCGGCGAAGGGAGCCGTGACGTCGACGGCGCTGGATGACAATTGCAAAACGAGGGATCGGACGGCTGGATACGAAGTGACGTTCTGAGCGGCCCCAAGGGAGGACTAGTGACGAAGCGCCAACTGAAAAGCAACTGACTGCTACCTAACTGGAGCACCTATGAAGGGAAGACATGAGGACCTCTTTGGAGACCGAACTGGTCAACCGTTAGATCAAGAAGACGTAGACACGATCAGAGACAGCTGGAGCGTTTTTCTCGAGGTTGTGGCTGACGAGGAGAGTGATTTTTCTGCAAGTAAAGAAAGCGAAGAATGCAGGGAGAGGCAGATTCCAGGAGCGCTGAGAAAGAAATGTTCCGAAGGAGAGACCGAGGAGGAAGTTGGTGCTGAGGTGAATACCTGTGCAACAATCTGTGGCGCGCAAAAGAGGGCTGTGAAGAAGCTGCCAAGGAGGCTCATCGGCAGCTACATCAGCCTGGAAGTTGCGTGGTACAGACCTGCTGGCGCTGAGGAGGGAAGAAGCAAATGAGCCAGGAGAGTCTTCATCTGCAGAGGTGGAGCTAGAGAGAGCGATTCTATGGGTTCTTTGGAACTCCTGGCAGATTGTTGGTCCCCTCGCTGCGATCAATTTGGCATTGTTGCTCTCTGATTCTCTGGCCCCTTTCCTGCTGAAAGTCCAACGGTCACCCTTGGCCAGTGTGAGTGCTGACTTGAAAAGGTGGGTGCCTCGTGGGATTGGGCCCCTTGAGAACATAGGGGTTGAACTGTGATCCCATAGGAACCGCGTCAGCGCTTTATGGGAAACTGAATCCGAGAGATGTCGTCAGGGTTGTTAGAATGGTGCTGTGATCTGGCGACTTGTTATCCAGCCCACTGAGGTGCTCGTTCATTGGAAGCAGATTATGTGCATTTTCTTCTGGGGTGTCTCAGTGGGGTGCCTCTTTTCTGGTGGAGCCCTGACATTTGGGCTCTGGATTGGGCGCTTATTACGAACTACAAGCAACAAGGCATGACTCACCAGCCCATAAGGCACTCACATATGGAGGCCTTTCGACAAACTGCGTGTGGTTTCTCTTTGCCCTGGCTGTGCGCACCACGTGCGCCATGGCCTGAGCGCGATAGCTCTGGTCCTTCTCGAACGTTGCGGCCAATCTGGGCCGTTCTTGAGGCTTTTGTCTTGCCGTTCACCACCAACACCTTGAGTCCGGTCTCGCTGCCGGCCAAAATTGGCCAATCATCGTCGATGCACAGCCGTGGCAAGGCGGAAAGAAGCCCTGTTGCGTCATGCACTGCAGCATTGTGGACAGGGCTGAATTGGCCCCTGGACCTGATGGAAATTTTTGACTTCATCGAGCCTTGAGGAGCTGCTGCGATTGATTGTGGAGATCTGGACGGCAGTTCCAAGCCTTTGTACAATTGGATGCATTGGATGGCGGTAAGTCATTTTCTGCCCGTTTGAGACGTCCTTCCGCCGCCATTGCTATTTTGAGTGCTGATCGCCGTTGTGACAAGTTGCGTTGCGCGAGGATCCAGTCTCCGCACTTGGGAACATCTTGATCATTTAGCGCACTCTCAAACCAAGTGGAGCTGAGGCTGTCGACGTGGACCAGCTGCCCATGAGTACGGGACAGGGTTATACGTGGCGACCATCGACATGTGGGTTGGCCGTTGCGCCATCAACGGGGGGTGGATGTTGCGACCATGGATATGTGACCATCTACGGCTGTTGTGTACTACCAGAGGGGCCCCATGCATTAGCAAGCAGAGCCCTTACATCGACCTACTCCTGCTGTACATGCAATCGTTGTTGTGGTGATGTGAATCCACAGTGTTTCATCTTCCATTGAGATGCACATCAAGAAATTATACTGGCCATCATGACCAGTGGAGCTCAACGGATATCTAATTTAGTTATTTCTAATTGACATATCTTTGTTGAGTAGGGTAAATGCCCGTTGAAAAGAGGGGCCATTTGGAGCTTACTCCATATCCAATTCCCTGATTACTGATTTGCCACTGCTTGAGAAGGCAATCCCTTTCACCAAGCTGGCGATGAGGGGCACCAGCCCCATGTATGGTCCCTGAAAGCCAAAGATGGTGTGCTGTAAGAGGCTGATCCATGTGCCCGGTTTGCTATCTCATATTACCGTTCCCCAGGGAATCCGCGCAAGGCATCATATCCAGCATCGCTCAATTGGTGAGAAAACAGTGATCAGCCGTGTTTAAACAAGCGTCGTCAATGGAGAACTAAGACAGAGTCAGGAACTCAGCGTGTTGCAATACCAGCCCAGAAGAAATGCACGCCAACAGAATCGAATGGAAATGGAAGGAAAGAAGAAATGGGTGGCCAACAGATCTCCTTGACCCAGCCCTTCTGCAGGAAATGTCCGAAGGGTGAAACGCAATTCACCATCTAGAGATGTGTTACAAAGAAGCCAGCCCTTGATTTCGCATTTTGAAACCACTGGGGCCAACACATACAAACGTTTTCTAGATTTCCATTCATTTATCCGTTCGCCATCAATACCATTTTCCCGATTCTTATTCTTTCCATGCCCGATGCGCGAACACGCCTTGCACAGGCGCGGCTCCCTTGGGGTGCAGCACCGATTGGCCTTTCGCACACAAACGCGGCCAGCCATCCTATCACCGCCTTGCCAAGAACTAATTAGCGCAACTCAGACGCCAGTCTGAATTTCAACTTGGCTCAACACGTTCCCAAATCGTGCCAGCACCACACAACAGTCATTTTCTGGAAACTCGTTATTGCTGCTGGTCAGACAGGCATGACCCTGCCGCCAAAGGAACTAGTCATTTGTAGTGCGCAAAGCCAGTTGGTCGTGTGGCAGTGACACGGGGTAAAACGGTCCAAGGACCGCTTGCCCAAACTTCCTGAAACGATTCAACGAAACTGGAGCAGCCGCTCACTCCACGATACCTGTTTGGGAGGGCTCAAGGGCTACTCCTAGTTGCCCCACAAAATCTCTGCAAAATCCGCTCATTTTCCGATTTGGCAGCGCATTTTCTATGTGCGGGGGCCACGCCGGGATCTTCCAGATGAATTGTGCTCACGGTTCGCCTTTGCTAATCCTTCCAACACAGCAGGCTGCTCCCCTGCTCGCCCTCCACTCGCTCACTCGCCCCTATTCCCTGACCGCCCTATCTGTCGAGTACGCTTGTTGCTCGAGCACTAACACCGCCGCGGCAGCCCTTGAAGCATCCCTTTTGCTAAATAAAAACCTCGCACCGAAGCCCCCACCGACACCAGCACCTTCGTCACCAACCACAAAGATCGCGTGTGCCAATCCTTGCACAGTCCCCATCGACAAGCGTCAAAACATTCGGGCACCAGGGCAACAGCCAGGGTGCGTCGAGGAAAGCTCGCCGCGGGGCGCCAAGGCACGGTGCCGTTCGCAACCCCATTGCCCATAATCCCATATATCTTATACGTGTATGTGTGCGCCATATCCCCATCAACGACCACCCATGGCCGCACCTGGCCACCCCCAGCGCCGAGTTGTCACCCGCCATCCCCGCTTCGCCGTCCGACTTCGACTTTCACCCCCACTCACTTTCGCCCATCTTTCTTGGATGAATACACGCCCGTCATCACCCACAAGGTGCAAGGCCATCTTTTTGCCTCTCGACCGCAAAATTCCAAACATAGCATTTCAGCGACTTCCACTCTTTCACTCTCTCATCCTTGGATGAACGAACGCCGTCATTGCCCGAAAGGTGGCGCTTTGCCCCCCGACGGCAATTCCAAACGAAGGCCTTCCGCGACGTTCAGGCCTCTGCCGCCCCCCACCCGCCGGGCACCAGTCCCGCGGTCCACGATTCCTCGATCAGGGCGCGCCAGATGCAGCTTGACGCCAGCACCATGATCCCGGCGTGCGCCAGCGGTCCCGCCGCTGGCGCGGCGTCGATCCTCACGCGCTTGTTCTCTTCCCGCGGCAGCGTGGTCGCGAAGTCCGCCCTCGAGGCCCTCTCCCACAGCCACAGCCCGTAGGTGGGCACCAGGAAGCCCAGGCCCACGTACAGGAAGGTCACTACAGGCTCGCAGCCGGCCAGCGCGTCCGCTGAGGACGCGGGCCGGGCCTTAAGCGCCCCACGCAGCGGCGCCAGCAGCACGTCGGAGACGCCCGTCAGGAGCCTGTCCACGGAGCTGATCGCGGACCTGAACTCGGCGCCCTCTTTGCGGCGGGCGGCGTCGCAGAAGGTGGCGGCGGACGGGGGCACGAAAGAGAGGATGGTGACGCCGGTGACTATGACGCCGTGGTGGAAGGGCAGGGGGAAGGCCATGTGGTGGGCGGCCAGGGAGGCCAGGGAGCTGCGGAAGCAGAGGTCGCGGAGGGGGGGCGAGGGGCCCGGCGCGCCGCGGGAGGTCCAGACGTGCAGTGCCAAGGCAAGCCCCAGCGATCGCACCAGCCTGAGGCAGCGGGACAGGCGTCAGCGGGGTCCGTGCGGGCACCCGATCGGTGGCGCTGCCCTGGGGATGAGATCGAGGTGTTTTCACCGGTCGGCGTGACCTAAAGTCGGAGACCAAGCTACTGAACGTACTGAAGTTTTGGCTATAAGACTGCAGCGTTTTTGATGCATTTATCCTTTGAGCACTCTGCATTCAATGAATTGATCAATATCGATCCATTTGATCGAAACGAGAATCCACCTTAGGAACTAAATTCTCTTTTCGAATGAATTGATAGAGTTCTAAGCACAAGAATGGTGTCAGTCAAGTACGCAAAAACAAAATAGCCTTTCAGAGAACAAGAGATAAACAAGTAAAGTACAACCACTTGTACTGCCGTCCCCAATGCAGCGTTAAAATGGACAGCAATCCCACAAGGAAACCTTAGTGGTTTCTTCTCCTTCGCATTGGGAAAAAATTTGGATAGGGGGTCAACGCACAGTTGGTTGTGGCACTGCAGGCCATGCTGGTGTTTGCATGGAATTGTGATAGGTGTTATATGAGCATTTTCAAAACGCAGGTGTAGATTGATTGTTTTGATATTGGGCCAAGCGAAGTGCAAAGAGAAGTCAAGGACAAGCAGCGCACAGCATGGCATCCGATGGCACTTGTGGCCATACGGTGCTGTGTGTGGAAAGCATTTACATGGTCGCAGGATATGTGTATGCTACTTCCAGATAGTCCTCAACAGAATTCACTGTTTCCTGACAGCAGTCACTGAAGTGCACTCTACCAGCCTAGCGGTGACTTTTTTGCTTAACAGAACATAGCCACAGCAAACAGCAGCATTGAATGGGAGACTAATGGCCAGTGTGCTGGAGTGTGTGCCACTGTGCTGTTGGGAAGGATGTGTCAAATATGCCAAGCTGTTGACCGCCACATGTTAATCACAAACATAGCTTGCACTGAAACGGGACCAAACGTGTGATAGTGAAGGTATTGTTGGTTCCTCATTCACCAGCGCCACAGCTGGCGTTTTTACTTCCAAACTGCAAGAGACTGGATTAATGTGTCTTGTGTACTAGCTGCAAGGCAGCTTAGGGCGAGTGCAGCTTAACAACAGCTGAAAATAAAGTAACAGCAGGGCAGCAGGTAGCAATGCACTACATTTGTATAGCATATGTAGGCAGCCATAGAACATGCAGCAGCCTATTTTATGGTTTCAACCAGCGAAAGTAGCAGCAGTACCATTGATCAGGGGCACAGAAGACAACGAGCTGCTCAGTCTGGCACCTCAGCAACAGCTCCCTGAAGGACGCTGTAATACATGCAGGTACACAGTGAATCCCCACAGCAAAAAACGATGAGTCAAGATCCCTCCTGGATCCTGAACAAAACCATCCACTGCTGTTGTCCTTTGTCTGCTCCAATGGTGTGCAAGTGCGTGACTGTTTCTTGGCAAGCGCTGCGATGCCCTCATAGACCGCTGGTAAACTAACACAGACCAAGCACCTGAGCTTAGCAGAGACACTTGACATGACAAGTGTGTCTTTTCATGTTGCCATTGTGGTAGCATCCATTTGTTCATGCTGACTACAGTGTTAGAGAACTCATTCTGCAAACCAGGGCAGACAACGTTCTACACACTGTCAGCATTTCTTAGACAGTTCTAAAGGCAGATAATCCCACGTTCTTCTGTGTCAAGGCCCACGTGTATCAGCGTGTAACTAATCGCTGCCCTTTCATCAGCAGCGCGAGTTGTCTGACAATTCTGGCGCAGGGATCGACGCTCTCTCCTCGCAACATCTGCTGATGTCGTCAGCGGCGATTTGCGACGAGAATACATTAGTTCTCCTGTCTTTCGGTGCGAATCCCATCTTCTTCCGCTGACCAGGCCAACGCCGTTCAGGGGGTCAGTGGGTCAGTGGTTTAGGGTTTAGGATGTTCGAAACAAAATGGGGTCCGCACGAAGAAGAGAGAGCGACTAATTTCATGCCATTCGCAGCATACAGATAAGATTGGCCCCTGGCCACATCGATTGCGACCACAAAACCGCAGCGGACAAACGGGCGCTGGCCGTGACTCTGGCTCCTCCGTTGCCACGTCATCCAGAGAGCCCTGCCCGATTTGCGCGGAAAACGCGCCCTGACTGCGCCATGTACCCCCCAAGTCCAACCGATTGACGGGCTCCGTCATCCGCATTATCTTCAATGCATGGACCGTGCGCCGCGCAGCGCTGCCCGATGGCCAATCGGATCATTTGTCGGGCTGGCCGGCGCTTTATTCGAGCGCAGCGCCCGCGGCTGGGCTGATCAGTCCGCCAGCTTCCCATCGACGGGTGGCCCCCGAGAGCCTCGCCCCGGTCGCTCGAGCTCGCCGTTCCCCGACGGAGCCGCCACGCTTGCCGCCGCGCAGCCCGGTGCCGTCGGCAGCCCCGAGGTCAGGCTCGCCCGCGCGTCACGCGCCCGTTTGCGCCGCGTAACGTGAAGATCGGGCCCCCTGGCGCGCACAGCGCCCCGCACGCTCGAGTTGTACTCTGAGGATGAGGGCCGCGCGTCTCGCCGGCCAAGAGTGCCGGATCGCTTCCGCGAGCCACCGCCAAAAACCCGCCAGCGCGGCGCTCAAATTTCGGGCTCGGTGGCGTCGACCGCGCCGAAGTCTTCCAGTTGATCAGCGGCCAAAGCGCGAGACCAGATCCGGATCCTCGCACGACGTTTCTGTAGCCCTCCACCGGCTCAGGTCCCCACACTCAACCCCAGGGCCCAATCATCGCCAAGGAAAAACAGGCAGTGTCGCAATCAGCGGCGGTCTCCGGCGCCCGCCCACCTGCAGCCCACCGACCAGACGATCCTCCCGTTGGCGTATCCGTCGCAGCCCCTCAGCAACGCCAGTCGCGCACCCGCGTGCAGCATCGCCACCGTGCAGGCGCCCAGCGCGGCCAGCGCCAAGAAGGTTTCCGAGCTGCCCAGCAGGCTGTACTCGTGCCACAGGGAGGCGGCGAGCAGGGGCAGGGCCGCCAGGGCGAGCGCGCGGTCCCTGTTGGGGCCGTAGAAGACGTCGCGCAGGTAGCGGCCCTCCAGGGCGCCGTCGCGGAAGGTGAGCCAGAAGGGGTGCATGGCGGTGGGGCGGGGGCGGGGCCGGGGGACACGGCCGCCGCCACGGCCTTCCCTGCCACCGGATGGTTCATTCCTGTGCGCGTGCTCGACCAGGAGGAAAATATATGTCAGGGTGGGACGCAAGGGGCGGATTACTGCCCAGGGGCGTTGACTGACCGGGCGGGCCCAAAGGCCCAGTTCCCAGTTGCACTTGAGTGTCGGACGTCAGCCCGGATGGCGAGGACGATGGGAGCCGCGTCACGTCGCGAAGCGGTGGTGGGGGTGGTGCTGTGTTTCGGTAATTGAAGGTCCACTTCGAAGGGCACCGTCACGCAGATGCGGGCATTCAGACAGCGAGTCGGTGTTATGAGTGTCAGAGCGCATCGAAAAGGCGCAGATTGCCCTGGCTCCCTCGCATATATACATCATTACAAGTACATCGTACACAGTCATTGTCCAAACTGTTCTCAAACCGCCCGTTCATCAGAGAATTCCCAATCCCGAACGTCCCAATCAATCTGCTAGCATCAATCAACTTGCCACCCACTCAGATTCGCACCGTGTTGCCGTAACTATGTCCCGCACCCCTGGGCAATTCCCCTAACATCTATTCCATAAGCTGTTCTTCGGAGACATCGCTTGGTCGTCACAAGATCTTCCTCTTCAGATGGCACAGGCCTCAAATTACCGCTTCAGTGGTCCTCCATGACCAATCTCCATGTCCTTATGATTCGGTCATTGTCTAGGCATCTTTGTAATAAGACTTCAGATCGTGAACACTTTGGCAAATTATCATACCACTGGGCATGCGAAGATGCACTACTCTAAGCTCGCCTAGTGAGGTGACCTTCCCGGGACCAATCCATGGTCGCACTAACTTCCCTCCTTTCTTCTTCTTCACCTGATTTTCACCAAGACCAGTGAACCAACTCGAAATCGAGAGAAGTCAACAACACTTCCAAACAATTTCTTCATGCATTCATTTACCATCTCTGTGACTTGTGCAACTTTGTCACGAACAAAACCTAGAATATGCAAATGTTCTCCTAGATTGGTGATGTCCTTGAGGGCATGGAAATGGTCCTCAATAGAAGCCATTGCCAAGGCCGCACTATTCACAATTGGTGGCCAGGACCTGGGCGTTATGCTAAATAATGCCTCCATCGGACTCATCTTCAGCCGCTGGCTTTGTCAAGAATTGATTGCCTAGTCCCCTTCTGGTAGCCATTTGTGAATACAGGCTATTGTTAGGCTATTAGTCTTCTTGGCTTGTCCAGTGGACTGGGGTTGGTATGGAGAACCCCAGCGGTGGGTTATGAAGCTTTTTCAACAATTTATAAAACTCCCTCATAAAATGAGATCTATTGTCCGTAGCAACTGCCAACGGAGCTCCAAATTTCATAACGACTTGTTCCACACAAAATTTGGTCTACTCCAATATATTCACTCTTGGAGTGGAGCAGTTCTCCATCCATTTCATCAAGGCATCTATGCATGTCATGATGCATGTGGTATTGCTTGATGTGACTAACAATTCAACTAGCTAGTCGATCAGAATAAGCTCAAACGGCTTGGTGATGAACCGGAAAGGTGTGGTCTCGGTCACCACCGTTGGCAGGTGTCACACTTCCGGACATGGTCTTCGACATCCTGGCATATAATGGGCTAGTACATGCCCCATCAAATGTAAGCAAAAGTAATGTCATGGCCCCAGTGTCCTCCGAAAGGGGAACTGTGAAACTCTTCCAAAATGGCAGGGACATCTGCCAAGGCTACGCAAATTTTTGAGTTACCATGCAAGTGGTATTAAGAGCTCCCTTCGTGGTATGTGCCCGGCACAACCAGTTATCAGCGATCTTCCCATGGCAACAATCCATTCTGAAAATGCCATATGTACAACAATCAAATGATTGAAAATACCATGGATACAAACAATGCAAAATACCATGAATGCAACAATCATTTGATTGTTGCTCCACCTCCACCACCCGCCCAATCACAATTGTGCTAGATTTTGTGGTGCTCACTACCACATCTTTCCTGGAGTGGTTGTTTAAGCTGCAAGAGGTGATTGTCCATTGCAATAACACTTATGGGATAGTTAGATGTTGCAAGGAAACAATGCTAATTTTGTTTTCTTGTGTCACAAAATATTGTCATTGTTACACTTTCGTCCTTGGTGGGTCGGGACACCAGTACTTTAGGCTTTTTGTAGAAAAACCCCTGGTGGAACAATCTGCCTTAGGCAGGGTTCGAACTCATGGCAAGGTGGCAAGGTGGACCGGTCTCGGCGTTCGCCACAACGCCTCATCAGCACCCTTGTATTGGAGTTCTCCCATTGGTATTTATATCTTTTTTGCTATATGTGGCTGCTCCCACTAGGCCTCACGGCTTGGACCGTAATAGTCATCAAATACTGCAATAGGCTTTAAAATACAGATTGAGTGTTACGCGCACCGGCCTGACGTGGGGGACGCCCTACTCATGGTCCTTGGTGTGGGGGACGCCCTGCCCAAGATAACTATCATTAACCCATGGTAACCATTCTAGGTATTAGGATACGGGAGTAGGAGGGGTGGTCCCGCCTAGGTCCCTGTAAGGACCTAGGTGCCCGGCGAGGCAGGTCCGCGGCTCAAAGAGGGCAGGAACCCCACACCCACAGACTTTACGTATCATTTGGTTTCGGAGCCACCTGGGGGTGGCTACCACGCTTCCGCCTGGGTGGACGAGCGAGCCAGGAACACCGGGCCCCTTCCCCGGCCTCCTCTATGGAGGCTGAGGAGACGGATCCCGAAGCCCGGAAGGGCACGCCCGAATCGTCGGGCGAGGAAGAAACACCCCGGAAGGGGACGCCGACCAGTTCGGTCGGTGAGGACGTTACAGCCTGGAATGGGCAGGGACAGGAAGAAGTCCGGAAGGACATAACCGGCCCATCATCGCAACAAGATGAGCCAGAAGGAGACGACCAGCCGATGGCCGAGGCGGAAGAAGCCCCAGAAGAGGAGGCACCAGAACCGGGCACGGTGGCCGCCCTGCTGCAGGCGCTGGGTATCATGGAGCTTCTGGAGAAAATGGCAGCCACGGCGGCTCAACAAGCGAGGGCGAAGCGGGACGAAGAGACCACTGAGAAGATCCTCACCCTCAAAATCGAAGCGGACAAGGCAAAGAAAAAAGCCCGCAGAAACGAGATCGCCATGAGGAAGGCGAAAAAGCTGAGCCGCCAAGCCAAAGAGGCCAAGACCTCCGCTGAACAATATGTGGCTCAGTTGAGCGATCGCCTGCTGAAGCAGAAACTGAGAGCTCAGGAGGCAGAAGAGAAGGTCGCTCAACAGAAGAAACAGCCCGAAATGGGTACTGGTCCATCTGAGCCGCTGCCGAGGATTCCAGAAGCAGAGGGCGAACGGAAGGTTGTCGGCAAATAGCGGCCAAAGAGGAAGAGCCCGTTGCCAGGTGAGACAGTGCCGAAAGTTCGGACAGACTTGCATAAAGGCCGGAAGGTCCAGCCCGTTGGGCAAATGGCGGAGATTGGAGGCCGGAAGGTCGAGACCCATGAGCCAAGGGTCAGGTCACAGGTGCACATAAGGACACCTAGTGAACCGGAGCAGAGCAGTGACGAGTCGCTCAGAGAAAGCGCTCGCGCTGTATGTGAACCTAGTCCAAAAAGGCCAAAAGGTCGTGAGTGGAGCCCCCGGAGACCCGCATTACCGGAGTGGGGACCGGGAGAGGGCGCCAGGGTGCTGGAATTTATTCCGAACACTGGTACTCCTTATAGCCGGCAACCGCCATGCCGTGCTGTGTGGACTAAGTTCCACAGTGATCTTGTGGACGAGTTGGATGAAGGCTGGCAAATGGCCGCCAAAAGATTTGGTGAAAAATTGACTACCGCAAGACTGGTGAGAATTCAGAGGTGGTATGGTTCTAAAATGGCAAATCAAATTGCGAGAGAGGACCCAAATTGGCCGGAAAAAATGGCCTTCGCGCTCAGACATATCCCCGAGCCTTGGGATCTGAGCGAGGGAAGCCCAAAAAGGCCGGATCCTAATGATCCCCACGAGCGGTGGGAGGAGATCTTAGAATTGTCGTTCTCATCATGCGCTTCCCCGTTGCCGGGAGATATGTCGACGCGGGCGCAAGTGTATAGAATGGAAAAAGAGAGACTGCATATGCGAAATCGAGATCGGTTCGCTCGTGCGAGGAAGTTGGACGAGCGAAAGGCGCGAAAAGCCAGCCAGCGCAGGGAGCTGAAAGCTTTGCGACGTGAGCGGGATCGGCAGTTAAATCCGCGAAAATATAAGCAGAAGAGAGCTCACAAACGCCAGCGCAAGGCTGAGATGAGGCGGTTTTTTGCTGCAGGAGGCAGCCAAAAGGCACAGCGCCTTGAGGCTAAGCCGGTGGCTGATGAGCTGGATCCAGCCCAGCAAGCGAAAGCTTTCGCTGAGCTTGAGAGGGCCCAGCCGCGGCAGACGGCCAGATGGGCTGATGAGTCGAGTGGAAGCGACAGTGGGGTTACCCACCCCGCTCGATTCGCCCCTACAAAGTCTATAAAGACACTGCCTCCAGTTGAGGAGATTAGCGTCCCCAAGGAGGCCACATCTTCTAAGGAGAAGAAGAAGCCTGGAAAGGCAAAAGAGCAGTCTGAAAAGGCCCATATGCAGCCTGGAAAGGTAAGGGAGGAACCTCAAGGAACTCAGAGAGTAGTTCCAAGTAACATTGCCGATGCAGTGTCTCCCAGTCACCTTGCTGTGAAAACACACTTGCGTACATGTGCAGAAATTGGAGATTCTGCTGGACATGACGAAGTTGTGTATCTCGGTTCAGCAGGGGAGCCAGCGGAACCTATTCCTCTGGAGAGGAAGGAGGTTTATGCTGCTGTGCAAAGGCAAGAGACAGCCTTGGAAAAGGCAAGGGCAGAAGTTGATAAGACTGCCCGGCTGCTGGCCATAATGGGGGAAGAGGATTATGCCGAGTTCCTGCAGTTTCAGGAGTCTCGACGGACAGGCCGACAGGCCAAGGGAACTCAC